TTGTTACTAGTAGTAAGGCACTTGTTCCTAGTAGCTTCTTGTTACTACTTGAAGTGGTTGTCCTGCACGTAGCTGGGGTTGATTTTGCTGAAAAGGCACCTGAACATTTGTGTCTGTCTGTGGTACTGGTCGTAGTACGTCGTCGTAGCAGTAACGGTGTATGAGGAGTAAAATGGCCAAGGCTCAATGAGAAGGACGAAAGGTCTAAAGAAGAAGGGTGGAAAACAAGTAATATAAGGTTTCAAAAAAACAACAAGTGAGAGATCAAGCAAAGTAACTGTAGGAGTAAATTAGTTAAAGACATTGCTTAAGTCCTGTAAATGACAGTTTTGTTGCTAGTAACAAACTTTTCATTTCTATTTTTAGACATACATGAGTTTCTTCTTTAGACATTCAGAATTTCGTTTATTTTCCCTTCCCTTTTGCTTTCTTAGGAACGCTTGGCAGCGCTCTTGTAAGTAGAAAGGGGCTGCTCGTCATCTCCTATCAAAATGTCAGTAATCGTGTTCTCTGTGTCCTACGCTCGGTTCGTGCCTCTTGTGCGTTTTCGCTCCACATATCCACAGCTCTGGGCAGATTTCCACTCTTCGTTCTAAGGCATTGAAGGATCGTCATGACCTTCGGGAAGAAGAGGAAGAGGATGATGAGGTGCCGAATGGTGCTGAATGGTGCCCACTGCAGACTGTGCTCTTATTTTGCTATTAGGTTGGAGGCCATCAAAGGAGGTGCAAAAATGAAAGGAGGTGCAAACCATGGGATCCACTCGTTGGCGAAACAGAGACCTTTCTTATTCTCCCAAATACGTTAGCTACACACGATGAGGATGAGTGTTAAAAACTTGGACGTCCAGGAGGGGCCGAAGTGGACTCCGCTGTGTGCTGCAGTGAGCGAACACGTCTGCAAGCGCTTCCTCTCTAGCCCGGCGCCACAGCAATGGCATTCTGCAAGTGCTACAGGGAAACCCCAATATTGATGGCCTTCAAGCGCTATGGGCTGTGATTCAAAGTGGCATGGGAATGGCAGACTTTGTTTTTTGTCGCCCGCCGTCGCGTTGTACTGGAAATCTTCAGGTCGTTTGCTTTAAGGAATTCACATGAATTCAATCTAAGGACCCATAGCTTAAAGGAATGCTTCAAGGAGCTTGAAGGTTGTTTTTGCAATTCTCAATTCTTTGACACTTTAGGCGAGGGCGACTGCGAGGTGATGTCCCGTGCCTGGCATTTGCTGGGCGATCTTTGCCGTTTCTCTAGGGGTCAAGCGTCTGGACACCCAGTAAATGAGTTCTCAGGTTGGAACGATGTAGAGTTTGAACGAGGTTGCATGCTTTTAAACGTTCTTGTTCAGATCTCGTTTGCCAGATCTCAGGGGAGCATTCTAGTCGCGTTGTGAGTAGGAACAGGAGCAAGGAGAAGCAAGGGGATACGGTATTTGATACGGTGGTGTGGAAGCGCTCTTAGTAATACCTAGTGTTGACGTGAGGCCCTCAAATCAAAGGCACTCTTGTTTAAACTCTTATTTTTCCGCAAGTTTCATTTTTTCTTTCCTGGTTTTCTTTTCTTTCTTGTTTCATTTTGTTTCCTTTTTTTCTGCATACTTCTCGGTCTTGGACGTTGCCTACAATCCTTATCAACCCTTACCAGGCTTACCACAAACACGAACACCTCGTCTTCACTTCCCTTTTTCCAAACACGACCTCTTTTTCATTTCCTTTCTGATGTAGACAAGAAGCCACGGAGGTATGGACCCCTTTTGTCGTTGGCTTTGCCAAAAGCGGGTGCTTTTCTGGCCTTGGACACGTGAATGCCTTAGAGAGACGACTGAAAGTAAAAGAGAGGAAAGCATACAAATTCGTTTCATTATCAATGTGAGTAAAGAAGGGATGGACGTAGATGCGAGTTTGACTTGCACTCAATCGACCACAACTTCAGTACTTGGACTTCACTACCTCTGAGGATTGATCTTTCTTTACGACTTTGTTTTTTGCATTTACCTGCTACTAGGAGCAAGAATGCTACTAGGAGCAAGGACGCTACTAGGGGCTCCTGGCCATACTATCAGGAACAAGAAGCTGCTAGGGGCTCCTGGGATCGCTACGAACGGAGCAGGAATGCTTTCAATTTGGGGAATTTCCTGCAGTCAAAGACTCAGAGGTTGGACGCAGCAGGGGCCAGCGCGGCCGTTGCTTGCTGCCAGTGTGACCGAACCTCAGATAGGGCGATGAAGAAACACAATTGTTGTTTGTTTTGTTGACTACTAGCGATGGCCTCCAACCTACTAGGGCAAGAAGATGTAAGAGAAGTAGGGAAGATAGGGACAACATTCATGAAGCTGCTATCGCAGAAGGGTTCGGGCTCTTCTTACGGAAACTCTTCTAGGCGGGAGGAGCTTCCTTCAACTCCTTGCATCAGGCTAGTAGCTACTAGGGTGGAGGCTATCGCTACTAGGCTAGTAACGGCTAGTAGAAATAGTACCCTACTGGCCCTACTGTTGCGCTTTTACACTTTGAGCAAGAGCAGGACTGGCAAGCGTGAGCTATCCCGCGTCCAGTAGCTAGCAGCGTCCTACTGAATAGCTACTGGCCTTACTCAATTATTTTACTAGGCCCCCTACTTAAGTACGGGCGGGCCAAAAGAACATCCCTTTAGGAACGTCCTTGCTCCTAGTAGTAAGGCCAGGAGCCCCTAGTAGCTTCTTGTTACTACTAGTAAGGCACTTGTTACTAGTAGCGCAGCACTTGTTCCTAGTAGCGTTCTTGCTCCTAGTAGCGAGGTGCGCAGCATCGTCAGCTCCTTGGGCCATGGCATTTTGGAGCGACTCAAAGACATTGTCAAGCCGCTCTTGGCATTGGCTTTGCAGCCAAAGGCGGAGCTTTCGACCTCATAGTGAAGCTCTTTATCACGGAAAACTGCTTTGGCTCACTGCCAGACATTCTGAGCGACATGCTCGAAGCCATGTTGCTGAACTAGGAGCAAGGACACTACTAGGAGGAGTCATGGTCTAAACTCCAAATGACCAGACGACTGAAGTCTACCTGATGACCCCCCATTGCAGCCCTCGCGTGCAGGCCATAGAGAGCGAAGTGGACCTGGACCGTGGCAGTCGTCGAATTGGACCATGTTCTAGTAGCTTCTTGCTAGCTGATAGTAGTAACAAGTGCATCGCTATTAGTAACAAGTGCCTTACTAGTAGTAACAAGAAGCTACTAGAAACAATAAGCTAATAGCTTCTTGCTAGTAACTTAAAATAGACTAATAGCTTTTTGTTACTACTAGTAAGGCACTTGTTACTACAAGCGAGGCACTTGTTACTAGTAGCTTCTTGCTACTAGTAGCAATGGCCTCCAACCTAATAGCGATGGCCTCCACCTGGTAGCTTCCTGTTCCTAGTAGTATTGTCAGGAGCTACTAGTAGCTTCTTGCTCCTAGTAGCGATGCCCTTTGTCACTGCCCTTCGTTCTGATTCCTTCCCCTTCATTGTAAATTCCACTTTCGATGGCCTCCAACTTAGGATTGGGGTGATGTTGCCAAAGCGACGAATGTTTTGCGGAACAAGAGTTGTTCGAGAAAGAACCACAATTTCCCAAGAAGAGATTCAACATTTTTCAACAGGTCGTCGAGGTTCATTGAAATGGGATTGGATCTGCTTGTGAGTCGCTACCAGTCGATGGTAAATAGAAGGCTTCTCTGCAGAACTCCAACACTTAGCTACTAGGAGCAAGGACGCTACTAGGGGCTCCTGGCCGTACTACTAGGAGCAAGTAGCTACTAGGAGCAAAGGGCATCGCTACTAGATTCTGTTTGGAAACTTAACTGTTCTCAAGCGTTCTGCCAATTTCCAGGATGGCGAGGTGCTACTGACACTCTCGGCACTCTGCAGATCGGTTGGCGGATTCTTGTCGCCTTTCTTGAAGAAGTTCCTAGAGGCATTTTGGGAAACTTGGGTGTTGGAGGGCCTTTGCTAGGTTGGAGGCCATGGCTAGTAGACACAATAGGGCAAAAGGTGACATTTGGGAAGCAATTCAGCCACAGGAGCAACATCAGAAGTGAACATATCGCCGCACTACAGGTGAGAGAAGACATTGAGTTTGAAATAGAGCAAGAAGCTACTAGGAGCAAAGGGCATCGCTACTAGGAGCAAGGACGCTACTAGGGGCTCCTGGCATCGATACTAGGAACAAGAATGCTGCTAGGAGCAAAGGGCAGTTGCCAGCGCTGTTTGTTGGTCCACAGCAGGTGGCTTGCAGCCCTGCCACGCTGGAAAGGTCCAAAGCCTTGCAGGCTTTGACGAGCGTAGACAAATTCTTGATGATCGGTTTCGTCGGTTCCCAGATCCAGTGCTGGTAGCGGTCTTATACAGTGTGTTTATATTTATAATATTAAGATACATTAAGCACGTTATGTGCACGCGCGCGCGTTTTTCTTTGATTTCTGGAGGCGATCGCCTCAAACATGGTTTCTTTTGGACTTTGCAGCTTTCTTCGGATCCGCCAGGATCTGGGCAAGGACTTGGTTGAGGGTGTGCCACATCGGTTGCTTCTTAAAGAAGTGCTCTCCAGCCTCCAACCTAATAGCTTCTTGTTACTAGTAAGGCCAGCAGCGCCCCTAGTAGCGTCCTTGCTCCTGGTCCTAGTAGCGATGCCCTTTGCTCCTAGTAGTGATGGCCTCCAACCTTCCAGTCTGAGACCACAGTTTTGCAAATCGTAGCAACGCGGCATGCTTGGCAGACACCAACTGCGAGGTACAAGCCGCCACAGTGGATCCCTTCAAAGGTGATGGCGAACTCGAAGAGGGGCTGCTGCGAAGTCAGAGGTTGGGTTTCTCGGAGAGTCTCAGCCTTGCTCCCCACAGCATGTCAAATTACATTGTTCGGGCACGCCTGTCACAGACAGACAGACAGACCGACCGACCGACCGACAGACAGACAGACAGACAGACCGACCCCTACGTCTTTGTGCTTGTTGAAGTGTCCTGGAAGTATTTACACAATTGTTTTTTGAACGTGAAAGGAAGAAGGAGAAGGAATCGGAAAGTGGACGCAGACCGCTAGTAGGTTTGGAGAGTCGGAATGGAGGAAAAAACACCGAGTCCCGTTGCCTTCTTGACGAGGCTGGTTTGCTTCTACCTTTGGATCCTGAAGAAGGCGACTTGGTGGCTCGGTTTGCCCTCTCTCTACAACCGTCCTTTTCGACAGGCGACACCAGAGTTTGTGGCAGCGCAAGATATGATGCCAGCCTTGTTGCGGTGCCTTGGATGCGGTTCTGAGATGCTGTGGAACTGCCGTCGCAGTATTGAGATGAAAACCAATGGATTCAAGCGATGAAGCCTCCGCCAAGTTTCCCTAAAATCTAGAAACCAAATCAACAGTGCAAGCGTGAGCTATCCTGCGTCCATATGTAGTGGTGTCCTAGTAGTTAGGAGCGTGTTTAGTCCCTTTATCAAGTAAGGAGGCAGGGCCGAGCAGGCTAAACAAGAAAAATTAAAGCAAGCAATACAACAAAGAAAAAGCAAAAAAAACAACAAGAAACTACCAGGAGTTGGTTGGAGGCCATTACTAGGAACAAGCAGCTACTAGGAACAACATGTCTCTCTGTCGTCGGACTCCAAGCGATGCCGAGTGCCGAGGCTCTTTGGCATCTCCGGTAGCGCTGTCAACAGCTTCCTCAGGCAGCCGGCGCCCGACGGCAGTGCCATCGACGCGCAGGAGATCCCCGTGAGGCCGCGAGTACTTCACGCCTTCTTTTCTTTTTTGCCGACCTCCAACCTAATAGCGGCCTCCAACCTACTAGCGATGGCCTCCATACTTCACGCCTTTTCTTGTCTTTTCGTGGAAAGGCCTTCATTGCCGCCTTGACATCTGGTGCCAGGTTGCTGAAGCGCGATTTGATGCCAAGCCTCATTACCAGCTCTTCCATTGAGGACTGGAGATGTATGGGGCATGGTGGCCATCGAACAATCCGCCAGGACGGAGTATCGTTATAGTCCTTTCGCATTGTGCCAGGACCTCTCCTGGGCCAACGTTGCGCATGCTGCCTCACTCAACCAGCTGCAGTTGCTGGTGCACACCGGGCAACCCGGACGGTTACATGGTTACCCTCACATGCACCAAAATGCATGACCTGGACCTTGTGCTGTGTGGAACGTGACTCCAAACCTGCCATGATTTCTTCACCCCTTTCTTGAAAGCCGGGAGAACATCGAAAAAGACATGGCAAGACCATTTCCAGACGGACGCAACACGGAGCACAGCTGTACTCCGCTAGGGGGGCGCTGCCTTCGCGCGCTTCTGCCTCTTCTTGGAGCCTGAGGAGGTGAAGACCCGCATCGCCAAGGCTGGAAGGGACGCAACAGAAGCGGTGGGAGGAAGAGGAGGGAAGAGGAGAGGAAGACGATGGAAGGCGAAGCAAAGCCGAAGTCAAGATGGTAAGAAGTATTCCAGTCAGATGTCATCGGGACGTCTTGGCTTTTCATGAATTCCACCCATCCGGGTCGCTACAGCTATGTACCGAAGTCATCCTAAGTCGGCGTGTTTTTGGTGGTTTGCGGTCGAAGCGAACGGACAGGTCCTTGACTGGGCTCGTGGCAAGCAAGAGAGGCTTCTCAGCAGGCCAAAGGCAGAGCCCAAAGATGAGGATGCGTCCAAAGCACTGGAGTGAACCTCAGACGTCGAATCTGTCGTCAGACTTCACTGTTAGATCCGACAGAGCTTCCGTTGCTAGTAGGTTGGAGGCCATTGCTACGAACGGGGCTCCTGGCCCTACTAGGAACGGAGCAAGAGCTAGGAGCAAGGACGCTACTAGGGGCTCCTGGCATCGCTACTAGGAGCAATGTTTGCTATTAGGAACAATGTTTGCTACTAGGAACAAGTGCATCGCTTCTAGTAACAAGTGCCTTACTAGTAGTAACAATGTTCGCTACTAGGAACAATGTTCGCTACTAGAACTAAACCATTCTTCGTTTCTCACGTCGAGTTGAGGCGCTCCTCGCGGCCCTGACAACTCTCACCGCAGAGGCCGATGGCCTAGCTGAGGAGCTCCTGATGCCTCTCACTTCCAAGGACACCTGGCAATTTTGCAGTCTCTAAATCGAAGAACGCAATTCGAACAACAAACCCAAAAAAGAAATCAACGAGACGAACAGTGGAACGAACGAACAAAATATGAAACATGGAACGAGGCCATTACTATTGGAGGTCATCGCTCTTAGGTTGGAGGCCATCGCCATTAGTTCCGAGGATCTAATCGAGGATAGCTTCTTGTTTCTACTAGTAAGGCACCTGTTACGCACTTGTTTCTAATTGCTATTTTGTCTTTTTCTTTTAAAATCTCCAAACCTGCACAGATACCTGTGTGGGTAGACAACCGTGCTCTGACAACCGCGGTCCGAGCTTGCCGGAAACCAGCGAACCCGAAGAAGGGACACTCGTTTAGTAAAGATGTTTGCAAATGACGGGCCTTAAACTGCCTTTCGGACTGGAATTCGTGGAATGGTACGGAATGGTACTACGAAAAGCAAGAAAACAAAGACAGACGTACAAAAACACCACATAAAGAACAAGAAACGCGATACATATACACAATTATGGTATCAAAAAGGACAATGGCCTAACAATAGTTACTTATTTAATATTCATATAATTACTTATTGCTTCGTATATGTATGAACAATGCTTGTGCACCGTTTGTGCTATTTTCACTGCGTTGCGTTTGATGGCCATCTGCAGGATATCTCCTCCGCCCTCCAGTCTTGTCATGCCCTTGCGCCCGTCACTCAGACAGTGAGAACGGTGATTGCGGAAGACCTCCTGATTCAGCACTACTATTGATGCTAGGAAGGTGTTTGGTTGAGTTCAAGTCAGTTCTTTTGCTGATGTTGATAGGGCAGAAGTGGCTAGCTTCACAGAGATTTTGCATAAAGCGCTCGCGGCCTCATTTGATTGTGCCAGACACAGATGAAATGATGGTCCCGTCAGCATCACAAGCTGCAAGAAGAAACCTAACTCACCACGTGTTGTGGCTGCGTGGCGCAAAAACAATTTGTTCGAACTCAATGTTCCCCTGTGTTTCCGCAGAGAATCTTCATGAGGCTGCGTTTGGTCAAGGAGAAGGCGCCCAAAAAGAAGCGAAGGCTGTCGCAGCCACGCGCCGCCAAGGAGGCCTTAGGTTTTTGAAACGAAAACATCAACCCACGGATCTTCAGCGTAGTGCACTTTGAAGGCCGCCACAGCTTGGTATCGGACATGCTAATGCTTGGTCGGGAAACGATGTTTCACGAAGTGGTGTCGCAAGCTTCCTGTCACCACCCTGCGCAGGTGTTAAGTGGACACAGCTGGTGGTGGTTTGATGCGTTTGACCCAGATTGGAGATGTTGATGTTTCAAGTTTTTGTTTTTGTTTTTTTTGCCTTGGACCACCTACCTTTAGCATTGCCAACATAAATCTAGAAATCGAGCCACCTTTTTTTTGGTCGCGACCACTTGGGACTATAGTCAAGTTATATGTATATATATTTTCATTTTTGGAATACATTTAGGCACTATATTATATTGTATGTTTTTTCTTGTGTTGTATTTTTTTTGTTAAACCTTTACATTGTATGTTTTTCAATCAAGCTCCTTTTCTAAAGGCTGTTTCTTGCTGCTACCCCTTTGGGCAGCTCTTGGCATCTCTTAGGTGGCCACCAGCTGCTTGAAGTTCCTCGCTTTGGCATTCAAACAAGGATCCACAAAACATGCCCGTCGTTGCCTCAAACATGGGTGACATCGCTATTAGGTTGTAGGCCATCGCTCTTGGGTTTGCAGGCCATTGGCCAAAGGTTTGGGTTGTTTGGAACGCCGATCGTTTTCCTGAGGTGAAGAGGTGAAGATCTGGGGAGAATCGCTTGAGGCGGCTACCGGGGACGGCTCTGCAACAGAACGCTACAGGTCTGACATGTTTCACAAATTCAGAAGTGTTTCTTAGTGACGTTGCTGAACGTTTTGAAGTCTTGCTCGTCATGTGTTTGGCATTTTACACTGGACATGTTTTGGTTTTACAAAATACCGCCAAGCAGCTCAATATCATGTTTCATTTGCTCGCCCCATGGGCGAAGATTGAACGAAAACTGAATCTGCCTTTTGGGATCTCAAGAGACACATCACAAGCTTATTGAACGAAGATTCAAAGATGATTCTGATGATGAATTGGGCAAAGAGTGGAGGAACATTTCTTTTCCTCTCTTTTCTCTTTTCGTCCTCTCTTCTCTTCTTTCTCTTCCTCTCTTTTTCTCCTTTTACAGCTAGCTGCGAGCGTAGCGAATCCTCGGGATCTGCAGGATCTGCAGGACGTGACGGTGGCGATCTTTGATCTCTTTGAGTTCCTCCCTTCGGACGACCTCACTGGCGCTTTGTCTCAGGCGTGCCGAGTGGAACGCAACGGAAACACGTGGTACTTAGTAGCGTCCGATCGCTCCGTTCGTAGCGATGCCAGGAGCCCCTAATAGTGTTCTTGCTCCCTTCGTAGCGAATGGAAGTGAATGGATCCCAAAATCCAGTTTCTGACGGCGTACCTTTTTGCAAAGTGGGTGGTAATTAAAAAGTACTTTCTTTGTCCGCCGGTGAGCTTCATGAATGGAGCTTTGACACAGATGAACTTGCTTCGGGGGTGCGGAGGTTGGGTGGGACGCCTTCCACTGTGATTGCTGTGCCGCGCTGTGCCGCATTGTGCCGCTATGCCAATGACTTCACTGGGTTGCAATCACCATGTGATTCGCACGTCTTACCATAGTGCCCTTTGTGTAGCAGTCCTCTACTGCACACATTGCATCAAATGTGTTGCGAAAGTTTTCAGGATGAGCAGGTTACAGGCCAAAGCAAGCTGCAAATGGCTCATCTGGACTCTGCACAGGCACCTTGCTGCAAGGATGCCACTAGTAGCAAGGTGCCAAGGTAGTGCGAAAACCTTCTGCAAGGTGCCAAGGCTGCAATTGTATGCTTGCTCCAAATCCAGCCCCTAGTAGCGTCCTTGCTCCTAGTAGCGAGGCCAGGAGCCCCTAGTTGTACTTTACAAGGATTGCGTTTAGCTTCCTTCAAACTCTCATTTTGACACTCATTGTGCACAAATCTGGAACGGGTTTGCTTCCACTTGCGACAGCTCCGACTGGTTTTGATTCCAAGTCGCCAAGCCAAAGCCGCAATTAACATGTTCGGTCATTCCATTTCTCGCGTTTATCTTGATCATATTCTGCTGGTTGCCTCAGGTAGAGTAGCACCTTCAGGTTTATCTGCTCAAGCCAAATGCTATGATCTGCTCCTGGTGTAACGACTTCACCGATTCCTGTGGTATTTACCCAATGAACGCCAGTTGCTCACCCGCGGGGAGAAAGGACCAACCAGCTTCGCTTGGCTTCGAAGAGGCGAAGACCTATCGGATTGGGCGACTAGCAACAAGTGCCTCGCTACTAGGAACAAGTGCCTTACTAGTAGTAACAATGTTTGCTATTAGAAACAATGTTCGCTACTAGGAACAAGTGCGTCGCTACTAGTAGCGCCCTTGCTACTACTGTAATAGTCATGCACTTTCTCCTAGCAAGCAAAACGGATAGACACCATGAACAAAACGGATGGCAAAAAACATGAAAAACCCCATCTTGGCTCTTCGCTCTTCCCTTGTAGGGCTCTTCCCTTGTAGGCCCTTCAGTCCGCCTTGGTGGCGATGACTAGTGCCGCACCTGGCGATGCTGTGAAGCGCCTCATGCAGGCAAAGGGGATCCGGTCGGATGAAAGTGGGGAACAGGAAAGAACACATCGAAGCAGTCGAAACAGATCACAGTCTCCTTGTTTTCACTAAGACATGTGACATTGACAATTTTTTTAAAGTTTGTAATCTTGTTTTTACACATTCCGTAAAACCGTAGGAAGGGTGGCAAAAGCCGGGGTACCAAGTACCATCCATAGCAACGAAGGGTTTGAATTCCCCAAAGATGAAATCCTCGAAGAAGCGAAAGACCCTTGGGGCGGCATCGCCAAAGCGAGACATTTTCGGATGCAATTTCCTCTTTCTTTCTATTCCAATTTTAACTTTCAGCTGATCGATTCAGGCAATTCTGGAGAAGACCCGAGGTGAAGATGCCGAGGCCGATGCTTGCTTGCTTCTGCAAGATTTGCAAATATGCTTCTGCGGCAGCTTTAGGTCGTGGCTAGTAGGTTGGAGGCCATTACTACTAGTAGCAAGGATGCTACTAGTAGCGATGCACTAGTAGGGTTTGCTTCCACTTGTGACAGCTCTCTCTGGTTTTAATCCAAGTGGCCTTCTATTTGCCTTAGAAGCTTCAGTCGCGTTTTCAGGTGAAGCTTCAGGCGCTCCGATGCGCGCATCGCATGTGGACCGACCTGGGCGTTCAGGCGAGGTCGTGTAGGTCGTGTCCATCTGAGATGAAACGATTGTTGACTTTCTTCTTGCTACTATATAGTAATGGCCTCCACCCTACTAGCGATGGCCTCCACCCTAGTAGCGTCCTTGCTATTGGATCATGAGGATTCAGTCAAACGAGACGTGAACAGATTTGAGCGCCTAAGCTACCCGCAAAATCGATCAGGTGGTGACCTGCCTCTCGGAAGTGATCATGTACACCTCAGAGCTCCAGGATGACGAGGTCTTTCAATCCGTTTGAGTTCGAAACCGCGTAATTAACATGAACGCTACTATAGGGGCTCCTGGCCTTGCTACTAGGAGTCAAGTCGTTTCTCGAAGAGTGGAGTTGGCCATTTACAGGCAATGCCTAGAGGAAACGAAGGCAAAGGTCCCTTTCAAAAGGGCCTAGACATTTCACTGACTTCGTCACTTGGTTCCCTTTGTGCCAGGACCCACGAGTGGAGTCAGCAGTGAAAGCTTTGGTGAGAACCATCGAGGAGAAACTGTGCGATAAGCAGAGTTACAACGCTTCTTGCAGGTTTGTAGAAACGCTGAATGCCAACGAATTGGAGACTTTAGATTCGTCAAATCATGAATTGAGTGTTGATTTTTGTTCTCCGGTTTTCTTTCTCATTTTAGACCATCGCTAGTGGGGTTGGAGGCCGTTGCTACATCTTTTCTTTCCTTCCCTCGACACCGGACACCGCTTCAGGACTGCACAGGTGAAAGTCTTCAAGAAGCCATGCAGACTTAGACGGTAACAGCCGCGAGTGTCGCTGAAGTGTACATTTCTGATGGGATGCTAAGACGGTGCACTGCCGGAACCGCAAGGTGCAAGGCAGCTGTGCCGCGGTCCCTGACATTGCTTATCCGTTCGTCTCACCGAAAGCGAGAGAAGCCGAAAAAGAAAAAAGTCTACTAGCGATGGGCTCCAACCTAAGAGCTTCCTTGCTCCTAGTAGTACGGCCAGGAGCCCCTAGTAGCGTCCTTGCTGGTAGCGATGGGCTCCAACCTAAGAGCCAGAAACGTCGAGTTAGAAGTTGATGAAAAACAGGTTGGTCAAAACTGTGGCGTTTCTCGGCGATCGTCCGCGCACGATCCGTGCAAGTGGTTCTGCCTCGCAACTGACCCTGTAGTGGCGTGATTTCAGGTAGCACAGCCATAGCCCAGTCACCGAGAAGAAACCAACGCTCGAACTCTGGACGGTCAAAGACAGGCATCATGACATGCCGCACCTAGTAGCGTCCTTGCTCCTGGCAGCGATGGCCTCCTGACATGCCGCACTGTTGTTTTGCTGTTTCACGCCGTTGGCGAAGAGGAATCCTGTTGCCCTGTCGCCAAGTCGCGTCCATTCGCAGTTCGTTCAAATCCGAAAGCACGTCCTCACGTCCATCACGTTGCATTCTGAAAGAACCCCTTCTCACACCCCACGTCACCTGGCACACAGGATTCGTTGATCTTTTCACCTAATAGTAATTTTGGTGCAGAGAGTGAAGACAAAACAGCCTGGCCTTGAAGCACCAAAGCCTGTCAGGCCTGCTCTCTGTGGAACGATGTTGGGAAAAACAGAGCGTTCTTGGACAAATCTTTGGGAACCAGAACGCTACTAGGGGCTCTCCTGGCCTTACTACTAGGAACAAGAAGCTACTATTGGCTCCTGGCATCGCTACTAGGCTCCTGGAAAGGAACCTGCAACTGGACCTGACGCGTCAAAACAGGTAAGCACCAGACACTAGTTGCAGCATCAACACCTTGCGGGAGCAGCACGCTTTGACCATCTTGAACTCGTCCAAGAAAGGAAGCAAGAACTGATTCAAAGGTGCAAACACAGAGAAAGAACAACACGCGAATCATTACAACAAATAGACACAGGTGCAAGAGCATAAATGACTCAAAACACTACCGTTGGTTTTGGCCTTCACTGGTGTTGCTCTTGCGTAACCTAATAGTATTTTTTCCCTTAACCTAGTAGCGATGGTGTCCGACCTAACAGCGATGGCCTCCAACCTAATAGCGATGGCCTCCAACCTAGTGGCGATGGCCTCCAACTCAGCAGCGGAAATAATAAAACATGTTCAAACAAGAGGGCAAAGGCCCAGGGGCGCTGCAATCAAGCGATGCCGTTGAAACGCTGGTCGGATGGTGGCGAGTGCGAGGGTGACTTGCGACGCTGTCCAGCAGAGAGTTGTGGGTGAGTAGAATTCGAACAAAATCAAAAAGAAAGGCTGCGTGGACGACCTCGAAAGCAGAGCCACCCAACAGCTGGCGTTGGAGGCATTTTGTGCGTTCACTTGCAGCAAAGTATTTGTCGATCCAATTGGGCTCAACCAAAAGGGCAATCCGCCTGCGGCCATCGCTTTTAGGACAGCTCCTTTGCTCCTAGTAGCATCCTTGCTCCTAGTAGCGGTTGCGGTGTCACCGTTTTCTGCCAACGTGTTTCGTTTCTGGTTGGTGGAGCTGTGAGCTTCGCACGGGTCCCTGGGCCCCGATGCATGCCTTGACGGCCCAAGAAATCCGACTTCCATTTGCAGCTTTGTTGAGTAGATTCTACTCATAGCTAGGGGCTGTGGCGAACGACCAAATTTGCTGATATGGCTTTTTGGCAGCAAAATGACAAGCCACGAGGAAGCAAACTGGCCAAAGCCGCATGAAGCTCCGCATTGGCATGCCATAAGCGTCAGTGCCAGGGAAAGAAATCAACACGTGCACTGCCCAGTGAACCGAATTCAGGGATAGCAACGCATATGCCCACCCAAGTACCACTAACGCTGTTGAACAACTGCAAGTCAAACTGAAGGCGAATAGCTGCCACTGTAACCTTTTCATGGCTGCTCGACTGCCACCCGTAGCTATGGCATGAGCAACTCTTGTTAGGTAAACCTCATGCAGAGGAGACCTAGGATGCCAGGAGCGCCTAGTAGTTTCTTGTTACTTCTAGCTACTTGCTCCTAGTAGTACGGCCAGGAGCCCCTAGTAGCGTCCTTTCTCCTAGTAGCGATCAGTTTGTCAGCGCATCAATGAAAACGGCCGTGCAAAGCCGTGCGCTAAGATCACCTGGCTAACGAACACTCGTCCGCAAAGGCCTTGTGATGGCTAGAAGTGAAGTCAGCAATGCCTCGGCGGGGTGGGTTCCATCACTGTGCCAAGGGCCTCGCAGTTCAACCTGGCAGGTGGTTCAACTACATTCCGTGCCTTGTTTCGCAAAAAAACGTAAAAAGTTTGCATAATTTGGCTAAGCCAGAGCATAGCCCTCGGACCACCAGGAAAAGCCACTGGTGCGACGGCGTGGAAACAATTTGGTACTGCCTCTAGCGAAACAACGAAACTTGATGTCACCGGCCTTCAAGTTGCAAGGCAAATGTGTGAATACAATTGCAGGCAGGGCCCTAAGCCGACCCAGGAATTGGTCCATTGTCACAGCATTTCAAAAAAACATTATCTCCTAATCTCCAGTTTAGACACTGGAACTACCCCACCAGTCCCCAAAACTATACTCTCATGCACTTCTTGCAACACATGCCTTACAAAATGAGAACCGGTGTCGCATTGTTCGTTGCCATTGCGATCTGGCAGCACAAAAGAAGGGGTTCCCGAGCTTTTTGTTTGTTCTCTAGAAACATTACATTTAGATCTTATTTTTCGAAGGGTTTTCCAGGGCACCTCCATTGGACATTTTGTTGTGCAAATTTCAACATGGCCGTTGCTGATGGGTTTCCAACACTCTCAGTGTAATAAAGTACTTGAACACCTTGTGGCCACAAGGAGTGCTCAAACGTGCATGACGCACTCAAGCAACAAAAAGCTAAACAACATGAACATGGACATGCGGACGATGCATATATGGGAGGGGCCGTGGAGGAACTCAATATTAGCTCATAGTCTTCTACTCTATGGACATGGCGACCGGTCACGAACATGTTCACCTTACTTGATGCAAACGGAGGGTAAAGCTGCAGGGCGCTGCAGCTACCCACACAATATTTTTTGCTATCCGTGGTCTGTGCTGGCATTGTTTTGTGGTACGTTTCTTAAAATTAAATCATGCAACGTCGTTTGTGCGTAGCTGAGGGCAAAGCCCTTCAAATGACGACAATTCAATAAAACACACGCAAGTTAATGTTAATTTTTTTCGCGCATATATTAGGTACCTTTCTGGCACTGCTGTTCTGCTGTGCGCCCGCAAATTCCTTCAACACCTGCTCACCTGAAACGCGTTCAAAATCTCCGTGTGCCACCTGTGGTGCACAAATGCCGTGCAATTGACGGTGCGTGCGCAAAAAATTGCCGTTCACCGATGCTTGTTCCATTTCCAGCCACACCCAGCGTCAGGGGGTTCCGGGGACGTTTGCTTGAATGATGGCGTGCGTGGATGATGAAACGACTGCGGCTAGCGACTCTGAACTCTGCAGGCGGCGTGGCCGCGCTTTCTGCTGTGCAGATTGCCGTGCGGCAATGAACTATGAGTCCCACCGGCGCCTTCTCGGCGGCCTTGAGCGTTGAAGCTCAGTTCCCACTCCACTTGGTGGGCCCCGTGCAGCTTTTGCTGGGTTCTGTGATGGGCCGTGCCACGCCACCTGACCCATTTTCCGCAACTGCATCGTGTTGACTGGCTACTTTAAAAACTGGACCCCGCGTCTCACGCATTGCTTTGCCCCAAGCTCGCCCCAGTGGCATGGCGGTTAGCGCTCTTCCCTTTGCCGGTTGTGTCTCTATGCCTCTGCCGTTGCGTCCGTCCCATTTGACAGGGCGGCCAGGACGTAAGAGAAACTGAAGAAGGCGTTGGTACCAAAAACGAGAATAGTTCGATATCTGGGATATACTCGAGGTCTTCTTGGGGAACCCCCACATTCTTGCCGCGGCCTGGACCGTCTCCCATCGGCTCACGTTCTTGCCGCGGTCTGATGGAGGCCTCGGCGTGCCTTCCGCGGTTCATACCGCGTCTGGCGGTTTGAGCATCCACGCCGGGACGCCGGCTCGCGAAACGTGCAGCCGCGGCTGCATTTCCGTCCCAGCCCCGCCAACCATGAAATATTTGTTGCGCAATTCTCGTGGGATGCTGACAAACCCCACACCTGGAGTTCCTGTGTTAGCATGTGCTACGCAACTTGGTGTCCCAACTGTGATTTGGTATGAATATGTTTGGAAACGGCGCGTGCTAACACACAGGGTTTTGCTAAAAGTTCTTATTTTCGGAATGTTTGGTCCCCCGAAGTGAGGTTTTATCTTAGGTTTGGGGCGGGTTGTGGGGTAGAACTTGACTCTTGACTTTGACTTTGCGCCTGCACGTCCGAAGGCGGCCCGTTTAGGGCGCAGGCGGGGTGAAAAACAAGAATTTCTTTGGTTCAAAAACATCATCCCGGGAAATGAAATCAACTCCGGAAACAAGTTCCCAACCCGTTGTACCTGCAGAATTTTTCGAAGTAAGTTTCCCAAGTTGCAAATGGTCTTCCGACCTTTTGCCGGCTGGCAGGGCGCCAATTCAGTACACGTTTGGTCCAACGATTTCCTGGCAACCGCGCCACGTAGCCGCCAAATTTCCAATGGTGACGGAGGACAACGGTCGCCCAACCTGTTGTCGAAGTCGTGCCAAGGTTGATCCCAAGAAATGTTGCCAGGAGGGCCCACAAGGGAACGCAAAAGTCCAGGGCGATGATGCTATCGTGCAATGTTTGGCCATGGCGCAGGTTGTGATCCTGCAGATGGAAGAAGTACTGCTTTCCAAGTCCCGGCACTCCAGGTAGGCCCAAACAGAGAAGACCAAAGGCCCCTGGGATTGCCATGCGGCTCGAGGCCGACGAGGTGGCTGAAGATGGAGCGGGATGTTCTTGGAAAGGGTTCGAAGCGCCCCACACCGACTACAATGACGGCTGCATGACTTGTGGTGATGGATGCTGGAGGGCCAGAGATTGCTGCGAACAGCAAGTGCGTGCCAAAGTTGGTGAGTATGAAGATTCAGGATGGGCGGGG